TTTCGGCATTTAATTGAATCTTGTGCGTAACTATTTGGCAGTTTCCTGGTTTTTCTGAAAACAAATGAGAAAAATTACTCACCACTTGCTGTATTGCTTTCCTTTCATGGTCATTCAGATGGCTAAGGTCCACTTGCGGTGTCTCCACAGGTTCCACCACCCTCTGGTCCATCTCCAACACCACGGAACTATCTTGAAAATTTAATTTGGCCCTCGCGGCCCTTAAAAACTCCATACCTAAATAAAGAGAGTTTTGCAGATCTTTCACCACAAAAATTAATACTTTGAGACTTTCCTCTTTTACCTGTAAGTTTAATGATAATTTCCCGATGCAGTGACATGTTTTTCCTTGCGCCGCTATAATTTCCGTATTTTTGGTTTTAAATAATCGTACCCTATAAAAATTCTTTTTGAAGAAATTTTCACTCATAAAATTTCCTTCTGCTCCTGTATCGATGAGGGCTTCTACTGGTACATCGCCAACCAGGACTTGTATAATTGGTAGCTGTGAGTTTTTTACGATGACCGTATTTAAATGTCTATTTGAGGGTTTTTTTTAAAACTTCCGGGGTCTGGACCCTCCCTTTCACAGGCCCCTCTACTCGTTTAAAGCTTTCCTTTCAATCTGTGTCTTCTGGGTACGCGGATGTTTATTTTCAAATTTTCTTTTGGGGGCCTTGACCTTCGAGTTTCGATGCGTTAGCTTGATAGTTCTTTCCCCCATAAGAGCGATTTCCATTTCTGGTTTCCTCATTTGAAGATTTCCTTCGGGTACTTTGAGAATATGTTTCCCCTCTCGCTTTTTCCGCTATTCTGCGATTTTGAAACTTCACCGCCAATTCGAAGAGTTCCTGCAATGTGCTTGGGTTTCTAATTTCAAAGTAGTCTTGAACAGCGGGTAACAATCTTGGTAATATTATTATTTCAATAATCTCCGCATCGGGTTTCTTTCCATACAGCATATCCGTTAGCTTGATTTTTCGTAGAATAAAGTCCGTCAATTCTGCTATATCCCGTTGATAGAAACTATATAGTTCGGCTTCCAGCCGTGCGCGATCTTTCACTATGGGGAAGGCCTTTACTAACGATTTTTTGAAATTTTCAAATGTATATGTCTGGCTTCCAAATTCCCCTAATAAAAATTTGCCTATGCCTATTTTTTCCACCATAGCGCGGCCTGTCCTCTTAGTGCTGATGTGGCGATGGCAACTTTTTGTCTTTCAGGAACAGGGTAGAGCTGAAAGTGGTTTTCTAGACCTTCTAGAAATACCGCCACCGAATTTTTTCCGTCGAAATGGACGTTTGGCTTGATTGACGCTCTCAACGTCTGGACCAGGTATCCAAATCCTTCTAACTGAGTTGTCATTTCTTGGTGTTGTCCAGCGGCTTCCATCCAATTTTCGGCCATTTCAGTTCGATAAGTGTTCGGGCGCCAATGTAACGTTGCGCGCCTCCAACTTGCACGCAACCAAGGGGTGACTGTGAAAACTGGATAAAACACAGAGTCTTGTAAAGGGTTTAAGTCCCTTTTTATTCAACGTAATAAATTACAATTGCGTGCTCTTGACGCTCACAGACTGCGCCAACTCGGCGGTCAAATAAAAATAATAACCTGAAAAGAAACTAAAGACAAGACTCTAACTACGAGGCTCTCTAAAATAACTAACTCACCGCGTTTTACAATACCGCTGCTAATTCAGCAGACTTGAAGCTCACTTGAACGATTAACACTACTTCCCGCCAAGCACATAGGCCGAAACGCGGGGTTCTTCAATTTCTCGCTAACTACCTCCGCGCTCGTGAAGTAAGAATATCACACCGAACTCGTTTCCTTCTATTTAAATCATAATACTTCCGCTGATAATTTGAATCCTTGCGCGTTCTACTAAAATTTACATATTCTGGCATTGGCAGTTCCAGGGGAAAGTAAGGCTTGACAGGAAAGATAGTTTAAACTTAAAATAAATGTTAGTTAAAATAAATATAAACCCTACAAAATTAATTCTGTCCTCACTTCGATAAAAGGCAAAAACACTCAAAATATCTATATTAAAAATTACGAAGTAAATCTTAAACATTTATTTCCTCGAATAAATAACAGAATGGATTAAGCATGATTTAATTCGCAATAAAAAGAATGCGTTATCTTTGTTGTTGCGAAGCGTAGTTTTTCTAGATCGGCAACAAATCTATTATTCTGCTACTTAGCAAACAAATATGGCCGCCATGGTAAAAATAATTACGCTTAGCCGCATGTAAACAACTTTTATATTGTTAATTCTACAAATATCGCATGAAGATTTACTAAAAGCATAAAAACCTTAAGAAGATAAGAACAACATAATTCAATCATTTTTAAAGCAAAAAATGCACAATTTACAAACATATAATAATAATAATAATAATAATAATAATAAGAATAATATAATAAAAAAAAACAGATTACTGAGTCGAGTAAGAGAGTGTATATATTTATATACTTTTGGTGCGACCGATTGTGTAACCAAAGTATGAGGTGCACATCTACATGTTATAGCAGTCCTATATACAAAATTTCAACGTTCTGAGGTTTTTGAATTATGCGAGATACGTACGACGTACGCGCAGAGGCTACGAAAAATTCTCTTTAGAATTCATTTTAAATCAGTTTTATATATTTTTTTGGTGGGGAAGATTCTATTCTTACGCACAGATTTCACACAGAAACATCCTTAAATTACATTCGATAGCGGTCAAAATGGATATTTTCTTTGAAATATGATGCCTGAAACTATTCGCGATGTGAATATTAGTGTTTTCAGAGTTTTTAATTAATATCTCGGCTTTTAAAGTCGTACGAAGATGGGAACAGTCGAAATGGCTTCCTTAGAAATTTTGGAAACGGGAATAATGTATTGAATGTTTGATAAGGCTATTTTTATTTTACTGTAAAACTTCGAAATGTTTTATTAACAAACTCTAGGATTTGAAGCGAGCATGGCAACAGCTCACGAAATAAAGCAGATTTTTATCTTCAGCGTATAAGACTGTTGCCACTCGCAAAAATGAGGGCGAAAATTAGTGTTTTCAAAGTTCTTAATTAATAGCTCTGATTTTAGGTTTTTTTGGGGGGAGGGGGAAAAGGACCCAGAACAGAATTGCAGAAATGTTGGTGACGATAGATATAGTAGTCATTGAGTTATTATCGAACAAACAAACACACAAACTTTCTTATATATATATATAAATAGATTGAAGTAAGTTAATGTTAAATTAAACGCTTCAGAATTATTTAAAATAAATGTCAGCCTGATTTAGCTGTTAATATATTGTGCAACCTAGAAAATTTTTGCTGGTACTAACTTTAAATATTCATATGAATTTTTTCTTTGCGATATTATTATTGTTGTTTATATATGTTTAGACGAAATTTAGCAAGCGAAGTTGAAAATTAAGTTAAAATAGTTTGGTTTTGTGTTAATTCTTTCAGCCCCAATGAGTTATGTAAGTCCCAGATGGTGTTTAAAGTAGCCCCATAGAGGCAATTATATGCATCAATTTACTACGCAGTTGATGTTCCACTGGTAGTAGGCATTATTTCCAACATCCCTACTACAAAATTGGTATGTGGTGAATCCTACACTACCACTACGATATGGTAGACTACCACTACAACATGATACCGTACAACTACAGTATGACAGACCATCATCTAGTTCCAAGTTGTTAAAAATAGGAGATCACTTACCCATCGAAGGGTCCCACTAAAATGTGTGTTCACAGTTGCTAGGTGTTCACAGTTGGTTGGAAGGTGTTCACAGTTGTACCGAGAAAAAACAAGAGAAGACTAAATAAATAAATAAATGTGAAAGGTTTCAGATTTTAAATTACTTCCAAATGGGCGTTTTTAACATTTTGTGTGTTACCTTTATTTATTAAATATCATATTCTCCGCACTTAAACTATAAAATTCAGTTCAGCGGCAATATCGCAAAATAATTTTAAAAAATGAATCTTTAAAAATCTTTAGTATTTCCGATACACAGTCTCACACGCTGGAGACAAAAACGCTTTTTTTTTCTCCTAGAATGTTGTCATCGCTCGCTTTGAAATCGTCGTTTTCGTTAATAAAAAATTCTTTAAAGTTTTACAAAATATGAAATCGATAATAAACCAAATTTCAAATTTGGGCTTTCAGATGCCCATATTCGCAGGAGGATTACGTTATTCAAATTTTGGTGGCTCTAGGTACCGTCGTTTTATCACAATGTGAGAAACATACATACATTTATGCAGATTCTTCATTATTTAATTTCTTTAAATATAACTCAGGTCGATAACATTTGGTGGCAACAATTTGAAAAGTGAAACAACGCTTTTAGTGAATCAACGCAAAATGCCAAAACGAAATTAATAGTCCTTCTGGGCAAATTGCGCTTTTGGACTAACAATTTGTGTGGCATGCAATCTACCACTATGCAAAAACTGTTTTACTTCTTATCACACATAAGTTGTGAAAATAAAAATAATTTCTTTTTATTTTTTCTTTTATGTGTCAACAATTTAGTACTAATGGGACATATTTGTTCCAGGGCCCTGGAATCCCCCCATTTAAAAATATTTAAAATGATATTTATCAATTCTTTGTGATAATTACCAAAAGTACGTAAAAAATCAAGTCAGTTTATAAGGTATTTCTTCCGCCTTCTTGGCATGCCTTTGTGGTGTGGTGGTCTTCACGCTGGACGCGTATTCCAGAGGTCCGTGGTTTGATTCTCGGTGAGGGCGTTGCTCATTTTTCATCTTGCCTGCTTCCATAAAATACCTAATGTCTCTACAAGTTGAAGCAAACAAATAAATTGGGACTGAAAGGGTTAAATAGCAAATTCTAGCCCATCAAGTGTTCCCAGATTGTGCATTCTGACCACATGCAATTTGAGTTCCATACAAACCACTGTTTACGACACTGTTTGAATGTAGGCAGGTGTTCCATTGCTCTGACGTTCTTCCAAACTTTTCAGGTCCCAAAACGTCACTTCCTCTGGATGGGAGATTTGTCGTGGAAAGCACTACCTCTGTCCCTTCCGCTGCCTCGATTTCAGCGATCCAGTTTGCGCTTCGGACGGAAAGATATACCACAATATTTGCATCATGAGGAAACTCAACTGCGGGTAAGTGTACCTCCTCGCCTACACTCAAACATTCTCGGCTTTAGGGGTATTCCAATTCTAATTATCCCAAATGGCTGCCTATGCTGTCCCGGAGGGCAGCGGCATCAGCCATCCAAGTGGGTAGGTTTATTGTTACGAAATGTCCAGCCGCGATGAGATAGCTTCTCCGCAAAGCAGATTTAGGGTTGCCAGAAAATGGCAAGGGAAGGCAGGGTTGCCATATTTGGCGACAAAATTGAAGATATGCCGTAGGCGGATGTAGAACCTTCTGGAACGAATTCTTACCGGTTTAGCCAGAATGTTCTCGAGCACAAGCTATATAAACCCTGCTGGTACGCGGAGAGTTAGTTAGCGTCCAAGCCTTAGGTCACATCAGCCATCTGTGTAAGGCAGTACCTGTGTGTGTAAATTGCTCTCTAACGCACGAGCATCCTACGAATTCTTGTAAACGTTCTCCTCGTTGTTTTAATTGTTGTGCTTGTAACCAAAAAGAAGGAACGTCTTATGATTGCTCGCATCCAGCGAACGCTAGATCATGTCCCTCATACCGAAAAGTTCTGCAACACCTCATATTGAGAGCGGAGCAATATTAGATCCTAGCTCTCATACACAGCACAGTTTTAAATCACTTGGATTTACCAGTGCAATTTGCAACGCTCTTCAGCTGCCACAAGTTTAGCAATCCAACAACTACTAGAAGGGAATATCTCAATAGCCCTTTTGCAAGAACCTTACCTTAATTTGGTTTGTGTTTTGTATTGAACCTTAAGTGAATTTTGTGTTTTGTATTGAACCTTAATTGAATTTTGTGTTTTGTATTGAATTCAGTAATAAATTATCTTTAAAATGATATATACAAGTTTGCATTTTGCGAAACGTAACATTTTCTATAAGCATACAAAGTTCAAAAGCATAAAAATTTCCAAAAGTGTCTACAATTTTGGCCACCACTGTATACATTCAAACGAATATTTTCAGGAAATTGTTTGGCTAGCATATAGTAAATACTTCGGAATTAAACAAGCTTTAGCTACTCATGGATTTTGCTCAAACTTTCTTTAAATCCTTACAAAATATGGAATAAATAAAATTCAAAATTCGTAATCTGGGATGCACTTATCTGGGTGAAGAATTACCTGCTTTCAAAATTGAGTGGCTGTGGGTGCCGGCCTTCTTTCGTAAAATTCGAAAGTCCAACATGTCGCCTTTCACATGCAAGTGGAACAACTAGCTACGGTAAGAACTGTGTGGGAATGTGATTCAGGAAATGAAAAACAAATCCAAAAAAACGGCAAAAACGAAATCTGAAAGCCTTCATATTTTATATTACGCTTCAAGGGGCGTTTTTTAACGTTCTGTGTGTTACCTTTATTCATTAAATACCATGTTCTTCGCCCTGAAACCATAAGATTCAGTTCAACATCGTTGAGTTTCTTAATCAAAAATTCTTTAATGTCTGACAAAATACGAAATAGATAATAAATTCCAAATTAGGACTTCCAAATTCTCATATTCGCTGGAGGATTACGTTACTCAAAATTGGATGGCTCTTGGTACCGTTGTTTTATCACAATGCGAGAACAAGACATACATTTATGCAGATTCTTTATTATTTAATTTCTAAATATAATAAACGGCTGTAATAATTAGTGGCAACTGTTTGAAAAGTAAATCAACAAAGAAAGCGAATCGGGGCAAAATGCCAAAACGAAATTAATAGCCCTTTTGGGCTAACGCCCTTTAAGCTAAGAAATACTTTAAAATATTTTCAAAAATAATGAATAAAAGGTAAAATTTAAAGGAATTTAAAGGAATCGATGTCTAGAGCCAATATTAGAATTTACTATGGAAAAAATTAAAACAATGGAATAGTTTTAATAACGATCATATAAAAACACTTTAAAACTATTTTCTTCTTCCAGGAAACTGTTACAAGTGCTGCCACTAAGGAAGTGCTATGAAGACTTCCGCCGTAAGTATTAAAATTGTTCAGTTGTATACAGCGAAAATAAATCAAAATTAAAAAATAATAATTTTCATAGTATACGCTTTTATTTGAAATGAATTTGACACTTAATGCACTAAAAGGTAATAATTTATCACACAGTTTAATGAGAAGAATTCTGTGCAGAGAATTCATCTACAATTTTATACGGCAAATAATAAAATTGTAGGGTGTCCATTATACATTTGAGAATGAAATTAAATTAATGGAAAATTTAATAAGGTATTTCACAATGAAATGAAATTAATAAATTTTGTTATTTAGACGCCCTACGCTTTTATTATTCGCGATATAAAATTGTAGATGAGTTTTATAAATAGATCTAGTGGAAGTACCCAATGCCAGATAAGTTAAATTGAGAAAATTGTACAGTGAAACGCCAATATACGAGTTTAATCCGTTCCAGCATTGAGCTCGTATAGCGAATTTCTCGTATCTAGAAACAAACTTCATCATTGAAAAAAATGGAAATCCAGTTAAACCGTTTCGCACCCCCAAAAACATCAACATTAAAATCAATTTTTCTAATAAATAACACTGGTAGATAATATAATCGCAGTTTACCTTCATGATAGCTACCGACATCGAATCGTCTTTTAGCTCATTCTCGTTAATGCACACCAACAATAGCTTCTCAACATCGTCAAGGAGTTTTGGATGGTGCTTGGAGGTAACGGTAACTCCTTTGGTCACATCAAGTTTCTTTTCTTCCTTTTTCTTCAGAATAGGATCGTCGATGTCGCACGGCCGTAAGTCTTCGCCTATTCTGTCACTCTTACACCACGCTTATATTTATTTATGATTTCTTTCTTAATTTTAAACGGTCACGTCTTCCTTCTTTATCTTTGTAGCACTATCTGAGGCAACAATCTTCATGGGAACCATCCTAAAATAATTATTTTCACGTTAAATGTAAAAATCACTTAACTCACAAGCGCACGAAAACGTAAATCAAAGAACACTGAGTGATCTGACGAGGGGATTCCCCGAATCGAGCCGGATCGGGAAATAGCGCATCGCATACCAACAGCATGGATCCTTGCTCGTTACTCGAATCAATGCTCGTATTTAGAGACGAATGTTCCGCTCATACTTTCCTCGTATCTCGAATTTCTCGTATATAGAGCTGCTCGTATCTCGAGGTTCCACTGTATCTCAATCTAAGAGAGCGAAGGATACCGCTGTAATCCTTCTCTAATAACGATGCAAAAAAATACGATTCATAGTCATAAATTTTTCAGTCTGATGCAATAAGGAACCCACCTAAAAAATAAACTAATTCTCTCTCATTATATAAGCAATAATGGCACGCAGTCTTTTTTATTGTTTTTGTCTTTCTACTAAAATGATCGTAAAAGCTCAAGTTCCATCCAATATTTCACCTATATTCAATTTCAATGCCATTGCGTTAAAACCCAGGAGTCTTGGACGCAAAGAAATCCGTTAGGGTCTATTCAAGGTCTGGCCGGTTGTTGAAGGATTTCCCACAAAAATGATTGTCCAGGGGATGGTAAAGGTGGTAGTCTGTTGGCGCGAGGTCTGGGGAGTATGGTGGATGAGGTAGTGTCTCCCAGCCCAGTCACTAGATGCTGTCCCTGGCCTCCTGAGCCACACGCGGCCTCGCATTGTCATGGACCCTTACGATTGACTAGTGCTGGCTCTTTCAGCAACAATGCCTGATGCATAAAGTTCTAATCACATTATTTCGGCTGCGCGGGAGTGGACGTCGAAAGGGACAATTCTCGAGACCAGAACATTTCCAGGAAACCCACGTAGCTAGTTTACCATTTTCGCTAACCGCAAAGACTTGAACGCAAACAGTTATCGATTATCGCTCAGATTTGGATCACGTGATCCTTCAGAAGCAGTAATTTCGTCTGATTGGTTAACTCTACCCGGGACAGTGCTCCAGCGGAGACATTTTCGGTGAGGTTTGGAAAAATTCCGCGTAGCCTCAACATGGTTTCTGTAAATAGGCGGGACTTCGCTTCCAGGGGGAGGCTCCTTTTTCTAGGGGTTTTCCGTTTAAACCAGTGCTACCAGAATCTCACTTCTAGGTATCCTCCCGTTTAAATCAATATTACCAGAATCTCTTTTCTAGGAATCCTCCCGTTCAAACCAGTGCTACCAAAATCTCGTTTCTAGGAATCCTCCGGTTTAAACCAGTACTACCAGAATCTCGTTTCTCGAAATCCTCCCGTTTAAACCAGTGCTACCATAATCTAGTTTCTAGGAATTCTCTAGTTTAAACCAGTGCTACCAGAATCCCGTTGCTAGGAATCCTCCCGTTTAAACCAGTGCTACCAGAATCTCGTTTCTCAGAAAAGTCCCGTCTTACAGGGACTCATTTGAATTGAAGGAGGCTCATACATCTTAAACCCTTAAGCTGTTCGAATATATGACTGTTACAAAAAATGGAATATTTTATTTATTTTAAAAGCAATTACTTCCAACTTTTTACAGCTGACTACATAATTTAGCTACTTCGGTAACTGGTAACCAGAGATTCTGTGTTGCCACAAATATTTTTGTAATTTAATCTGCTTTATGACAAAATTTTTTATGCTTTCATGTCATGTTTCCAACTTGAGCGCATGATATTTTGAAAATGGCTAATGGTACATACTTGAAATTTGATGGAATTCCTTATATGGGCACTTTCTTCTAACTGAACCAAAAATCTGAAGAATATTATAATATTTAAAAAATTTTATGCACGAAAACATTACAGATTTTTTTCAGTAAAATACATTTTATAAACTCAACTCCAAATAAAGTAAGAATTTAAAAAGAAATTTTTAGGATTTTTCGTTCACGGTAGTTTTCAAATGTTATAAAAACTATATATTAAATATGGAATTAAATTATGCAACATAATGTTCTAAACTATGCGCGCAAGGTGGAAACACGACGTGTACGCGTAAAACATTTTGTCACAAAACAGATTAAATTATAAAAATGTTTGTGGCGACACAAACTTTCTGGTTTCTTTGAGACATTTTCTTTGAGAGATATTTAGATTACCTGGAAAATTGGTATGATTTCGAAAACTCAGAGTATATTAAATTGAGCTTACTTTCAATGAAAAAATCAATTACGTCTGATACTTTGAGAAACTTGGCCATTGATTTAAAGATCACTTTTGATGAAAATAAACTTTATGAAGATTTTTGCATTTTGAGGGAGGTTCAAGACAGCATTTTTAAATCAATTGCAAGAGTTGATCTGAGGTGGGCAAAATTTTCCTCAACGGCCGAAAATAAAGTTGGAGATATGTTGAAGAAAGTAGTTTCATTCATTTTGTCTATACCTGTATCAAACGCTGCCTGCGAGCGTGTTTTCAGTATAGCATTCGATATATGGGCTAAGGAAAAAAACCGTTTAAATGAAGAACATGTCAAGGCAGAAATTCTAACGTTCTTCAATTTTAAAATGGACTGCAAAGAGTTTTTTTAATTTGTTAGTTCCAGACCAGATATTTTGAAATCCGTACGATCAAATGCAAAATATAAGTTCAAAATAAAATAAAAAGTTATGAAAATTGATATTTTTTTCCTCCTCTCCCGGATTTTGACAGCCAGGAGGTGGCAACCCTAGTCTGGAGTGTCCGAGGAGACCGCACTTCGCCTCCTTACATTCAATATCGGCATAGGGACCGTGCACCTGGGGTGATGGTGTGCGCAGCCATTGGATACACGACACGTACATCTCTAGTTAGGATCGACAGTAATTTGAACGCAGATCGGGGCATTTCTGACATCCAGTGGTTGTGCCCTATCTTCGATCTGCCCTACCTCCCAAATGCCATTTTTCAACATGATAATGCAAGACCACATGTTGCACGTCGTGTTCTGACCTTCCTTCGATACACAGGGTGATAATCACAGGCGCAGCCCAGCCCCCCCCCGGCCGATGAAATCGGCCTTATGGCAAAAGAGACACAAGCCCCTCCAACACACAAACGAAGGAGCCAGCGAGCCGGCCGTATTTCGAAAACTTATCAGTTCAAAAGAAGCCAGAAAACAACGGTACAGCCAGATACACAGGGTATTCGATTGCTGTCCTGGCTTTCACGGTATCCAGATCTGTCACCCATTGAAAACGTCTGGTCATGGATTGCTAAGAGACTAGCCCGCCAACACTCTCCAGCTAATGCGGTCAATGAAGTGTGGTATGGATTTGAAGCAGCATGGAATGAGTTGCCCATTTCTGTCATCCAAGCCCAGTTTGAATCCATGCCTAGCCGGGTAAGGGCCGTTTTAGCTGCCAGGATTGGCAGATGTTTCTACTAATTTCGCACTCCTGTAAACCCCCAGATTGCTTACAAATTTGATCATTTTGGACTCATGCCATACTGTATACGCACAATAAATAATGTTCCTTTTTTCTTTTCTGACACTAGTTGTTACGTTATTTTCTTCATTCACGTTCGTACGGGGTTCGTATGGATTTGGAGTAAATAACGACGACACTTGATGATGAAGTATCGAAACACACTTTATTTACCAATATTTATCAGGACAGCTCCAAAACACTTTTACAGTCTTGAAGATCTACTATAAACACGCTGGAACAAACAGCGACGCCGCCTTCACACTGTCAGGCAATAATGGGGAAGACAGATTCACTGTAAAGCACCAGAGTACAGCTCCCGACTCTGCTCGGTAGTTCTCGGAATTCCACGTACTCTCGAGACTCTCCACGCTACAACTCGCGATGCACTCGGCGACACAGAGAGCACAGCTCCCGGCTCTTCTGTTCAGTCGTTCACGGAGTTCAAGACGCTCTCTCGACGATGCACTAACAGCGATACACTACTTTCGGTGCACTCGACGACCCACTCGGTGCCCGGCTGTCAACTCGATCGACTGCGAAGGGATTGAGTCGCTAGACGAGACACCAACTGGATACTAACTAACTCGCACTCTAGACGAGGTACAAACATTCGCCCTCTAGACGAGGCACACTCTCGATACTAACTCTCCGCGCACCAGCAGGGTTTATATAGCTTTTGGCTGGTGTTCAAGAACATTCTGGGCTAAACCGGTAAGAATTTTTTCCAGAAGTTTCTCCATCCGTCCATGGCATATTGCCAATTTTTCGCCGAATGGGCGATTTCTCGCCAAATGTGGCAACCTGCCTTCCCTTGCCATCTTATGGTAACCCTAAAACTGCTTTGCGGGGAAGCCATCTCACCGCGCCTGTACATTTCGTAACAATATCTTTTTCGTATTTGCTTTCCTTCATGGTGTTGCAGTTTTAATGACCAGCAGTTTATTTAACATTTAAGGATAAATACGTTTGACATTAAAAGGGTAATATATATAAACGGATTACTCATCTTGACATTGCAATTAAGTTACAAGAAAATTTGACAGTGATTTAATATATTTCTTTAATTAGGCGGCTTAGGCATCTATTATTCGCGATATAAAATTGTAGATGAAATCTGTCCATAGTCTCTCAAAATTCTGTCTTTAATCTATTCTTCCCATTAAACTATATGATAAATTATTTTTTTCCTTTTGCTTCATACAGCCTTATTTTATGAAAACCTTGGTTTTAATCGTATTTTTTATAGTTTATCCTATGACATGAATATTTTTTCTAGTAGCAATATTTCTTTTGCACAGAATCTAAAGACGAAAGTTCCTGCCCCAATACATGCCCAGAAATTTCCAAGCCTGTTTGTGGAAGTAACGGAATCATCTATTTTAACGAGTGCTTCTTGAAGATGAGAACCTGCAGGTATGCAATAGGAGTATATTGTGTTAAATATAAACTTGTATATTTTGTATTGTCTAATCACTTCTAACATATTTCTTTGAAAAAGAATACTACATTCCAGTTGTCTTTAAGTTCTAAGAAATTACTGAGTTACGCGAGTGAAAGCGAAAATTATAAAGCACTCACTCTAACTGACTTGTGATTGTTAACTAAAAAATTATGAACATGTATTGAGTTATCTTTGAAAATTAATTAAAAGCTTCATGTGTGGCTTAACAACGTAACCGATTTTGTGTCCATGTATATGAAAAAATGTTTCTCCTGCAGTTATTAACGTTAAAAGTCTTTCGGAACAATGCAGCGTTACGAATTTGGAAACAATAAATAATTTTAGTGAAATTAAAAAAAAAAATCTGAAATGTTTCAGATTTTAAATTACCTCCAAAGGGACTTTTTTTAACATTTTGTGTGTTTAATATTTATTTATTAAATATCACGTTCTTCGCACTTAAACCATAAAATGCAGTTCAACAGTAATATCGCAAAATAGTTTTAAAACGATGAGCATATCTTTAGAATTTCCGATACAGAGACTCACGCGCTGGAGATAAAAAATGTTTTTCTGCACAACGTTGCCATGCTCGCTTTGAAATTCCTTGAGTTTGTTAATCAAAAATTCGTCAAAGTTTTACAAAATAGGAAATCGATCATAAAACAAATTTCAAATTTCAAATTTGGTCTTCCACATGCTCATATTCGTGAGGATTACGTCATTCAAAATTCGATGGCTCTAGGTACCGTTCCTTTATCACAATGCGAGAACTATACATACATTTATACAGATTTTTTATTATTTAATTTCTTCAACTATAATGCAGGACTCTAACATTTAATGACAACAGTTAAAAAGTGATTCGCCGTTTGTAGTGAATCGACGTAAAATCTCAAAACGAAAACAATAATCATTAAGGGTTGCTTTTCCTGCATAATGTCATATGAAAATCTAAAAACACGAAGCTTTGCCGAACGTAAGAATACAGGGCATCGTAATCGAAAGTAAAAATACGGGGACAAGTCTATTCAACATTGACTTCAAAAGGCTGTCTTACTAAATTGGCGAGTTGTCACCAAGTTGGCGATGGTTTTGGCTACTAATTTTTGGGACCAAGTCTAGCGAGAAATCTCCAAAAGTCGCCATACTTGATGTAGTAACTATTTCATTACCATTCAGAGAGCATTAAATCATGAGGTAAGGAATGATTCCGCTTAGTTATTAATACACACCAATTTATTTACATAAAACATAAAAAAATCTGAAAGGTTTCAGATTTTAAATTACGTCCAAAGGGGCGTTTTTCTAACGTTTAGTGTGTTACCTTTATTTATTAAATATAATGTTATTTGCACTTAAGCCATAAAATTCAGTTCAATGCAATGTCGCAAAATAATTTTAAAATGAGCCTATCTTTAGAATTACAGACACACAGTTCTGCGCGCTGGAGATAAAAAGGTTTTCCGCCCATCTCCGTAAAGTGTTGCCATTGCTCGCTTTCAAATCGTTGAGTTTGTTCCTCAAAAATTCGTTTAAGTTTTACAAAATATGAAATCGATAATAAAACAAATTCCAAATTTCAAATTTGGGCTCCCACATGCCCATATTCGCAGTAAGATTACGTCATTTAGAATTCGATGGCTCTAGTATGTAGAGTTGTTTTATCACAATGCGAGAAATATATATACATTTATGCAGATTTTTCATTATTCAATTTCTTCAAATATAATGCAAGACTAACATTTGGTGGCAATAGTTTGGAAAGTGAAATGGACATTTATAGTGATTCAACGCAAAATCGCAAAACGAAAACAATAGTCCTTGAGGGGCAAAGTCCCTTTGGACGAATAATACAATGATTACAAACATTATTATTAGGCTTAATGCCTTCGATCTTCCATGAAATCTAAAATTAAGTTATAGAATAACAACAGAGACAAGACGCTCGGTGTGCCACCTAACTACGCGAGCTATCAATTTATATTTGACAACTATTAGCAGACACTTTGGTTCTTTCCTGCTATTTCTACTCCTACTATTCCTTCCTGTTTGCTGCTTTCCTGATTATTTGTAGTTCAAATGCAATTCAGGTTGGAATTCTAATATTCTTTTCTGCTTCTCAGAATGCAATGCGAGTCCATGTTACATGGTAACTATTGCTCATTTGGATGAGCACTATAACCTCTCTTAATTAGTAAAAACAATTAAGAATCACCCTGTATATCAAATTCAATGAACATTGAGGAGCAAAATTTTGAGAGTTAATTTTTTTAACAACTTGGCAGTTTGGCATAATATGAGTCCTAGAATTGAAGTATGGAAAAACAGCGGCATGTCATTTCAGAAAAAGTCCGATTTTGTGTCTAAATACCTGTATTAGAGCAATGCTATATATATATATATATATAATATATCATAAATCGTGCCCCCCTTTTTTTTGGTTATTACGTGCTCCACCCGTAGGCACTACACGGAAAGGGAGGGATGCCCCGTGGAGGTCTTTTTAAGGGAAACTTACTCGTATCCACGTTACACATGTGGAAAACCATGAAAATGCCCATGCAGCCGGCCCGTTCGCCGGGACTCGAACACCGGATCGGACTACCAGTGTTCAGCGGCTTTAACCGCTCGGCGGCTGGTGGGCCTAAGTCGGGCTTTTGAGACATGAAAAACGCAAGTTGAATTTCGTCAGTCCGCCCACTAGAACGAGAGATATAAAACTGTCCCCCCCCTCTTTTTTTTTTCCTTTTTTTGCGTCGTGTACATACGAACAAACGTTTCGGAAAAAAAACTCTTTCTTCTGAATCAATTTAAAATTCATTTACTCCATTTGGGAAAAGAAAATCTCCTATTTTGTTCGTATGTAGATGACACGCAAAAAAAAAATTGTTCAGCGAGAATCCGGAGCGGCCAAAATGGATGCCTTCGTTGAAATACGATATCTGAAATTTTTCGCAGTAACAATAATTCCTTTACTCCGTACAAGGAAGTAAAAACGCCTCAATTAAAATTTTATATTGACGTATATTATTTCCTTTTAATAATAATTCCTTTAATAATTTTATTTCCTTTTAATAAATGACAATTTAATGAGACTCTTAATTTTACTAATTCGATGACTGATTAATTACAGTACAAAATCCGTAATCCGGACTCGTTGGGACTTCGGCGATTCCGGATTAGGGGTTTTTCTGGATTATAGATCATCAATTTAAATATGGTAAGATGGCATGCAGAAATTATACAATTAAAAATATGAAACCGTAATTTATGAAATAAAGCGCAATTATGATCTAAAGGGTATCAAATTTTACCAAGAAAAAGCTTAATATTTATTTGTTTACTTTACTAAACATTTTTTTCAACGCGCGCATGCGTAAAGCATAATGTATGCACATTCTTTACGTACATGCGTAATGTATGCGCATTCTTTACGCGCATGCGTGATGTATGCACATTATTTACGCGCATGCGTAAAGTTTGTGGCTTTGAGGTCCGAATTATAGATCATTCCAGATAATGGACGTTCGGATTACAGATTTTGTACTGTTCTACGTTCCAGAGTCTCAGTGAATTAGTAAGAACGACATTTCGTCTTGGCTATCTAATTAATCTATCAGGTAAGGAGTTTCAAAAAAGTGGCATGTCTGTTCTTGACAAGTTTTGCTATGAAACGCCAAACAAGGGAGATTAATCTTTGCACTTTTACTTTCTTAATTTTTAATTTCTACATTCAGATCAATGTCTTAGTATGTTAGACTGTTTTTCATGTATTACAATACTTGGTAGAATTTATACCTTCTTGCTGATGAGTTAGATCACACCTTACTTTTAAACTTCATTTAAATATAGCAGCACTTTGCGCTAATTTATTACTTTTAGTATAATCGTACTTGTTTCTTACCTCGTTGAGTGCTTCTTTTCTCATTTCCTTATAATAAGTGCAGTTAGTTTCAGAAATTTAACTGAATGAACGTGAAAATATTTTCCTTTCTCAGTATTAGTGAAGGAGTGGTGGCAGTAGCAATGGAGAGTTGCGTGCAAGTTCCAAAATGTCCCGAAGTTTGTCTTCCCTTCTACGATCCCGTCTGCGGTTCTGATGGACACCTGTACATCAATCGGTGCAGGATGCTACAACATAATTGTGGGTAAGAAAACTCTTGTTTGAATTTTGTAACCGTATTTCATCTCCAAGGTTTTTAAGGTCATCTTCAGAAAATTCCAAAAGTACCGGCGTTATCATCCCCTTAAGAACGAGCACCCCTAAATTTTAGAATGGATTCGTCTACGTAGTGATTGGTTTTGCCTTACTAAGCTAGATAAACCCGTCGTAAACTACATGCGCATGTTACGACGAACTTTTCCTTTCGAAATGTATAAGGTATTTCTCCCGCCTTCTTAGATGCCTTCGTGGTATAATGGTTTTCATGTTCGTCGCGTATTCGAGAGGTCCGTGGTTTGAGTCCCGGCGAGGGCACTGCTCATTTTTCACATTTCGCGCTTCAAAATAACCTAATGTCTCTACAGTGGCGCCCTAACTAAAAGGATGTGGGTCCCCTAATCCCCAATCACCTTATAAAAGGGGGAGTATATAAGGTATTTCTCTCGCCTTCTTAGCATGCCTTCGTAGTGTAGTGGACAGCACGCTCGGCGCGTATTCGAGAGGCCAGTGGTTCGAGTACCGGCAAAGGCGTTGTTCATTTTTCGTCTCTCCTTGCTTTCAAAAAAGTGCCTAATGTTTCTATAATTGTTTAACTTCGTGTCGAGCATGCGCAAGAACCGAGCCAATAGGACGAAGCGAACACGGACTCGCATTCAGTTTACGACTTTGAAGAGTAAACAGCACATTCCCTGTCTCTAATTAATTATGGATGAGAGAAAATTATTATATTGATGAGATCATAATTATTATTATTATTTAATTATAAATTATTATGTATTCTAATTAATTATCGTGTGGCCTAAGCAGCAGCGAAGACAGCATTAAGAAACGCCAAGTTTCCAGTTAACAGGAAGTCTATCTGTCTATCTATCTATCTATCTATATATATATATATAAAGAAGAAGGTTTGTTTATTTGCACTCTAATAACTCAGTCACTACTGCAGCTATCGTCACCAATCTTTCTAATTCTTTTTTGCGTCCTGGAAAAGGTCGACGTCGCTTTTTTTCCAAAAATAAATTAGCTAAAATCAGAGATATTAATTAAAAACTCGGAAAAACGATCATTTTCGCCGTCATTCTTCCGAGTGGCAACAGTCTCGCAAACTGGAGATGAAATCTGATTTATTTCGAAAAGTTGTTGCCACTGCTCGCTTTCAAATCCTAGAGTTTGTAAAATAAAAAATGTCGAAGTTTTACAGTAAAATAAAAATAGAATTATCAAACATTAAACGCATTATTCCCGTTTCCAAAATTTCTAAGGAAGCCATTTCGACTATTCCCATCTTCGTACGACTTTAATAAGCCGAGATATTAATTAAAAACTCTGAAAACACTCATTTTTCTGAGTGGCAACAGTCTTGCGCGTTGGAGATAAAAATTCTTTATCTCGAAAAAATTTGCAACTGCTCGCTTTCAAATCGTTGAGTTTGTTATTAATAAAAAATTTCTAAATTTTACAAAATCTATACATACAAAGAAGAATGCCTGTTTGTGTGTTTGCGTTTTTGATTTCTGATCAATTATGATCCATTTCTTGCCACATTGAATCGACTAAAAGTGAATGTAGGAGAAATATTGGATGGAATTTGAGCCTTTGCGAACATTTGATTAGAAAGACAAAAATCATTAAAAACTGCTCACCATTCCTGCCGATATAATGAGGGGAAAATTACCTTATTTTTCTATCGAAATTTTTTATGTGGGTTCTATATCGCATCCGACTGAAAAATGTATATGACTATGAATCGTATTTTTGCATCGTTATTTTAGAAGGATTACACCGGTATCGTTCTGTCTGTTGTTAGATGCATTACTCTCAATCTAACTGCCATTAGGTACTTTCGCTAGTTAAAAATAAAGATATCCTGTATGTGTTTTTATTGAAATGTACGTTTTCGTTTGAAGAAATGATATTCTGATCGTTAGCTGTAGTTTATGACTGAATGGGTACTGTTACTTTCTTCCTTCCGATATCAAATAATTCGCATAATTTTCCCCTCTCGGTTTTCTTACTGTTGTATTCTTACGGGTTGTTGTTCTTACGGGTATTAGAGTAAACAAATAGAGTGAATTTTAAAGAATGTATTTATTCTATTGTGGTTTATGCGCTGTTGGCCAAGTAGATTCTACGATTCAAAGTATGCCAAACTGCCAAGTTTTGTAAAAATCGCACGAGTAGTTTTTAAAAACTTAGCTCTGAAAATTTTAGCTCCTCAATGTTAATTGAATTTGATGTGTATTTATTAACACATTATGAGCGGTCCGTATCGGACAGTGCTGCGTAGCGGGCTAATTTGCCAGCTAAGCGAAATATATGCGTGTGAAAATAAACTTGATAGACGTAAAAGTAATGGTTAGATTTTTGCAAAATTTGGTATTGGGTCTTATCTGGAACTATATTTTATATACATTAATTTATATTTTTATATTTGATAAGTATATTTCAGAATTCGTGAGATTATGCATCACTCACTTGTTTTATAAAAATACAATATTACTGTCGAATTTCTTATGTACAAAATTATACAAAAAAACAATACAATAAACATTAAAAAAATATAAAGCCATTAGAATTATAGGCCGTTGTTCCTGATTCAACGGGAGCAAAATAAAATAGCCCGATAATATATACATAGGCTAAAGTGCGGAATCGCCCACTTATTTTTTTGGCGTTTGTTTGGCGCTTTTTACAAGAGTAAGAAGAACTGAATTTTTGTCAATTTTTTATGTCTTTTTAAGCGAAAATTGGTCGATGTGTACATGGATAAAGTCAAGAAAGTGCGCAATGCCTAGTTTGTGCAATTCTCTGATGTTTTTTAAAGTGAAAAATAGGGCGATGTGTACATGGATACCGAGCACGTGCAATTCTTAAAAACGCGCCAAGCAGTGGACGATTCTGCACTTTCTCCCATATGTAAAAAAAAGTATGCAAGCAAATATACAGTTCATTTAAATCCTTAAATAGTTACAAATATATATACAATATATATATATTATATCGCCGTTAGCGGTTTATTTTATAGGATATATATATATATACAGGACAATATACTAGTTTATAAAGTTTGGTGTAGTCAAGGCTAGTTCCTAATATTTTTCTTGAGTGTGATATTTGAAGAAACAATCTGCCCGATGCAGCGACACTTTACAAAATTCACACATATAACACGTTAAACTTTTTTTCTTATGTGCGGCACATACGCGACACTGTCTTTGAGGTTTCAATTTTGTTCCACCAGTGGTAATTTTAACCAATTTATGCCTTTTGGGATCTTTTGATAACCTCCCTGGAGGATCACTTCTGCTGGACGTAGCGGATGTACCTTGTACAGGATCATCTGTATTGCTAGGAAGAGCTTCGCTAATCCATTTCTTGCAACATCATGTAAAAACATCTTATACGTTTTTTTGAATGTGGATTTAATGCTTTAAAACCTCTAAACGCATTAAATAACGCACAATTGATAAAAAACATTACACCTCGTTTCGTCCATTTATTTTTACGACGCACAATCGAGTAATAGGATAAGCATTGGTCAGCGCGATCAACACCTTTCATGTATTTATTATAATCAATTACGCATATTGGCTGCCAAATTCTTTGTTTTGTTACCCAGTTAATATTATGGCTTTCCGCAATGTCAGCTGAATGTATAGTTGAAATCATTCGGACTGTTCTTTTTGATTTCCAACATTGTAGTAAAATATTCTGGCGGCGACGAAATATAGATCCCCCCTTTGCTAGTTTAGGATTTTTCAAATAACTGGGAAGGCCTCTGTTTATCCGAATAGTGCCGCAAGTCCGAAAACTATTCTGTAAAAGTAATTCACAAGGGGCAACACTATTGTAATAATTGTCCATGTATATGTGATGCCATAAGTTGGAATAGGGTTCAAGCAGATTTAAAATCGTTTCTTGCAAACGACTTCCTTCACCACAGTATATGCGAAAATTACAAATGTATCCCGTTTTAGCTTCACACACCATTCTTATAAGTAAACCATACTTTATAATTTTTGATGCATTATAAACTTTAAATGACAAACGGCTCCTCCATGGCATGATGCTCTCATCCAGTGATAACTCTCTCTCTGGCTTATAAACCTCTTGAAATTTAGGTAAGAAGTAAGATATAATCGGTCGGATTTTTTCAGGCGATCTCTGTCATCTCTGTCATCATTATTAGAGAAATTCCACGCATACCATATCTGGTCTAAATCTATCCCTGCTCATTACTTCCGCGAAAATTGGAGTTTGGATAGTTTTATCTGTAAGACCAATATTCGTCTCTTGTATCTTTACGAACTCGTCCCATTAGGAGAAGTAGTCCGAGCATTTTTTTTTAAATCTACCATATTCACATCCTTCCACTTCACAGATTTTGCTCTGTCTCGAAATGCATCTGGGTTTTGTTCGCGATACCGATTGGTTTCCGTTGCCATATATTCAAATAAGTCATCTCCAATAAATAGCTTAACCACATCTATTACACTTTCTGAATTAACTGGCATTACAAAAACTCCACCTTGTCCGAGGAATTGTTCAATAATTGGTACATTATCAGTTGTTGACCATTGTTGTTGTTGACTTTGACATATGTTGTTGACTTCATCGTCACTGTCTTCGGAGTCGCTAGGTGATGGTATTGGAAAAACTCGATTTCTTCTATGTCGAAATAATTCCTCGTCACTTTCACTGTCTAAATCACGAAATTCCGCGTCAAGAAACACAAAAACAGGGGGAAAAAAGAGAAAAAAGAGGATACGCAAAGAAGTAAAGTATTTTTAACTATTAAATTCAAAAATTAACCCTTTCGCCGTCCTCTCCCGTCAGCGAAAATTTTCCCTCGGCGGCCATCTGTTTTTTGTAGCGAGTAATGTTGTTTTCTCTGTACATCATAACTTTACATGACTTTCGTAGTAATTGAATGTCAATGAATATTAAGTAAAATTATAAGGAAATAAAGCATAATGGAAAAGTAATAATA